GTCGTCGTCGGCGTGGTCGGCGTGGGCGTCGTGGTCGTCGTCGTCGTCGTCGTCGTCGTCGTCGTCGTCGTCGTCGTCGTCGTCGTGGGCGTCCTCGTCGTCGTCGTCGTCGTCGTCGTCGTCGTCGCCGTGGTCGTCGTCGTCGTCGTTCTGGTCGTCGTCGTCGTCGTCGTCGCTGCCGGTGCCGCCGCTGTCGCCGCCGCCATCGTCGTCGTCGACGTCGGCGTGCGCGTCCTGGGCGTCGTGGTCGTCGTCGTCGTCGTCGTGATCGTCGTCGGCGTGGGCGTCGTCGTCGTCGTCGTGGTCGTCGTCGTCGTCGCCGCCGCCGCCGCCGTTGTCGTCGTCGTTGTTGTCGTGGTCGTCGTCGTCGTTGTTGTCGTCGTCGTCGTCGCTGCCGCCGCCGCCGCTGTCGCCGCCGTCGCCGCCGCCGTCGTCGTCGTCGTCGTCGTCGTCGTCGTCGTCGTCGTCGTCGTCGTCGTCGTGGTCGTCGTCGTCGTTGTCGTGGTCGTCGTCGTCGTCGTCGGCGTGGCGGTCGTGGGCGTCGTCGTCGTGGTCGTCGACGTCGTCGTCGTGGTCGTCGTCGGCGTTGGCGTCGTGGTCGTCGTCGGCGTGGGCGTCCGGGGCGTCGTAGTTGTCGTCGTCGTCGTCGTCGTCGTCGTCGTCGGGGTCGTAGTCGTCGTCGTCGTTGTCGTCGTCGTCGTCGTTTTGGTCGTCTTGGTCGTCGTCGTCGTCGTCCTGAAGTCGTGGTCGTCTTGGTCGTCTTGGTCGTCGTCGTCGTCGGCGTCGTCGGTGTCGTGGTCGTCGTCGTCATCGTCGTCGTCGTCGTCGTTGTCGGCGTTGTCGTCGTCGTCGTTGTCGGCGTTGTGGTTGTCGTGGTCGTCGGTGTCGTCGTCGTCGTCGTCGTCGTCGTCGTCGTCGTCGTCGTCGGCGTGGGCGTCGTCGTCGTCGTCGTGGGCGTCGTCGTCGTCGTCGGCGTCGTTGTCGTCGTCGTCAGCGTCGCGCTCATCGTCGTTGTCGTCGTTGTCGTCGAAGTTGCCGTCGTCGTGGGCGTCGCCGTCGTCGTGTCGTCGTCGTCGTCGTCGTCGTCGTCGTCGTCGTCGTCGTCGGCGTGGGCGTCGTGGTCGTCGTCGTCGTCGTCGTCGTCGTCGTCGCCGTCGCCGTCGGCGTCGTGGTCGTCGTCGTCGTCGTCGTTGCCGCCGCCGCCGCTGTCGCCGCCGCCGCCGTCGTCGTCGTCTTCGTCGTCGTCGTCGTCGGCGTGGGCGTCCTGGGCGTCGTGGTCGTCGTCGTCGTCGTCGTCGCCGTCGTCGTCGTCGTCGTCGTCGTCGTCGTCGTCGTCGTCGTCGTCGTCGTCGTCGTCGTGGTCGTCGTCATCGTCGTCGTCGTCGTCGGCGTGGTCGTCGTGGTCGTCGTGGTCGTCGTCGTCGTCGTCGTCGTCGTTTTCGTCGTCGTCGTCTTGGTCGCCGGCGTCGTGGTCGTCGTCGTCGTGGTGGGCGGCGTGGGCGGCGTGGGCGTCGTGGTCGTCGTGGTCGTCGTCGTCGTCGTCGGTGGCGTGGTCGTCGTCGTCGTCGTCGTCGTGGGCGTCGTGGTCGTCGTCGTCGTCGTCATCGGCGTCGGCGTGGGCGTCGTCGTCGTCGTCGTCGTTGTCTCCAGCGTCGTGGTCGTCGTCGTGATCGTCGTCGTCGTGGTCCTCGTCGTCGTCGTCGTCGTCGGCGTCGTGAGCGTCGTGGTCGTCGTCGTCGTCGGCGTCGTCGGCGTCGTCGGCGTCGTCGTCGTCGGCGTCGGCGTCGTCATCGGCGTCGGCGTCGTCGTCGGCGTCGGCGTCGGCGTCGGCGTTGGCGTCGGCGTTGGTGTCGTTGTCGGCGTCGGCGTCGGCGTTGTCGTCGGCGTTGGCGTCGGCCTCGGCGTGGGCGTCGGCGTCGGCGTCGTCGTCGGCGTCCGCGTCGTCGTCGTCGGCGTCGGCGTCTGCGTCGGCGTCGGCATCATCGTCGTCGTCGTCGTCGTCGTCGGTCGTCTTCGTTATCGTCTTCGTTGGTCGTCTTCGTCGGTCGTCGGTTGTCTGCGTCGTCGTCGTCGCCGTCGTCGTCGGCGTTGGCGTCGGCATCGTCGTCGTTGTCGTGGTCGTCGTCGTCGGCGTCTTCGGCGTCGTCGTCGTCGTCGTCGGCGTTGACGTCCACATCGTCGTCGTCGTCGGTGGCGTCTTCGGCGTCGTCGTCGTCGTGAGCGTCGTCGTCGTCGTCGTCAGCGTTGTCGTCTTCGTTTGTCGTCTTCTTCGGTCGTCGGTTGTCTTCGTCGTCGTCGTCGTCGTCGTCTTTATCGGTCGTCGGTTGTCGTCATCGTCGTCGTTGGCGTCGGCGTCGGCATCGTCGTCGACGTCGTCGTCAGCGTCTTCGTCGTCGTCGTCGCCTTCGTCGTCGTCGTCGTCGTCGTGGTCGTGTTGCCGGCGTCAGTCGGCATCCCCACACGCCCTTGGGCGCTGCGAAAGAATCGCGACGGGCACCTTTGTCGCGGTTTCGGCGTCCATGGGCCGCTGTCAAGGCCTTTGAGCAATGAAGAAGCGACCCATTTATCAAGACAAGCCCCAGGGGGCCGACGCTGCAAGGTACACGAGTCACTAGACATCGGAGGCCTCGGTCGACGTCGGCGTCGTGGTCGTCGTCGTTCGCTCTCGTCGCGTCGGCGTCGCCGTCGCCGTTGGCCGTCGTCGTTCTCCGTCGTCACTGTTGTGTCGTCGGCATCGTAATCAGTCGCCGCTGCCATCGTTCGCCGTCGCCGACGAGCTGAGCTGTCTGGAAACCTTGGGGAAGGTGGTCCCAGGAGCGGCCGAGGGCTTTCAATTGGGCCCCCAGACGGGGCGGCCTTCGGGCTAGCGACGCCACCCGCGGGGTGCGCGAAGGCGCACACGTCGCGCGCCTCGTGGCCCGGGCCAGAGCGTCGTTCTACCAGGGGGGGGAATCTCGAGGCATTCCAAACGGGGTCAGAGCAGATCGGGTGGGGGATCGCGCAGCATCGCCGGTGCATCGGCGATGCGGCGCGATGTGGAGCTTGATTTTCTTCATGCCGACGGCGTCGATGTAGCACCAAGACAATGCATCGCCGATGCCTCGACGATGTATCAGCGATGCCGCGCGATCCTCCGACCTACTTGGGCCCCATTTGAGAGGCCTCTAGGATCGGGTGTTGACACTAGTGTCCCTGGCCCATGTTGTCCCCATGATCTCCAAGGAGGTCACCACGGCCTCAAGAGCACCCCTCGCCAGGCCCAGAGGGCCCCAATGGCTCCAGAGTAGAGCGAGCAGCTGGAGGCACCTTTTCGGCCAGGGGCACCTTTTCCCAACCCTCCTGTGTCGGGTTCTTGTTTTGATAGAGCTCTGTGATCTCCACTCCTTCCTTCCTTCCTTCCTTCCTTCCTTCCTTCCTCCTCCTCCTCCTCTTCCTTCCTCAGCTTCATCCCTCTCGCGGCTCCCTGGGGGGCTGCGAAGTGCGCAACTGTCGTCGAATCGAGTTGTACCCAGACCCAGCCGAGATCTCGCGGCTCTCTGGGGGGCTGCGAAGTGCGCGATTGCCGCCGCTTTCGTGGGCTCCTGGGAGGTCCCGCGGAGTGGAGTTGTGCGCAGACCCAGCCGAGACTTCGCGGCGCGCTCTTTTGATTTCACATCTGGGTGCTCCTGCGCACTGCGGGTCCTTCAAACTGTTCGTTCGTATTGGGCGGCCCTGGGTATGTTCGCCACTCGTTGTAGACAGGGCTGGGTACGTCGCAGGGTACTTGGCACCCCCCGAGGGGAGGCACGCGAGCGCGAAGATGGGGCCCCCGCCGCTGCTGCGCGCGAGAGTGCGGGGCTCGGTGGGCCAAGGCTCTCGCTCTGCTCGTGGGCCCCCTCGTGGGCGCGGCCGGCCAGCCGTTGAGTCGATACCTGACCGCTGCGCCATTGCAGCGGCAACACCACCGCAGTAGAAAGGAGAGATTCTTAGGCTTACGCCACACCGCCGACCCCTTGTTTATGCCAATCTGGGGGTAGTAGATGCTGCGAAGAGGTGAAAAGCGAGTTTTGGAGCCACTTGGGGGCCGTTTCGGAGCCTCTGGGGTGCTTCTTGGGGGTTCCTTGGGGCGTCTGGGCGGCCTCGTGAGGGCCTCTGGGGGCCTCTTGGGGCACTCTTGGGGCCCCCTGGGGCTCCTGGGGGCAGAAAGCTAGAGTTTCAACATGTTTGGTCGCCCTCTTGGGCCCCTGTTGGTGCCGTCTTGGAGCCCTCTTGGGCCGTCTTGGGGACCTCTTGGGCCGTGTTGGGGCCGTCTTGGGCCGTCTGGAGGCCGTCTTGGGGGCCTCTTGGGCCATCTTGGGGCTTTCTTGGGGGCCTCTTTGGCCGTCTTGGAGCGTCGGGAAGCCGAAAAGGCGGAAAAGCAAAAAACATAGGAAAAACACTATGGAAAATCAACAATTTTAGACTCTTGGGGTCCTCTTGGGAGGCTTGTTTGGGACCTCGGAGGCCGTCTTGGAGACCTCTTGGCCCGTCTTGGGGCCATCGTGGGCGTCTTGGACCGGTCGTTTGGCGTCTCGGAGCCTTCGTGGGCCGTCTTGGAGGCCTCTTGGGGGCTTCTTGGCCCGTCTTGAGGCCCTCTTGGGCTCGGAAAAGCCCCGTGAACCGCTCGTCCCGGACCCCCCCCGCTCGCGCTCGACCCCCCCCCCCCCTCCAAATCGACCGGACCGGGCTCCCGGGGGAGGGGTTTGGGGAGGGGGAAGCATCTCACACGCCGATGATCCCCAAGGGGTCGGCGGATTCGGTACGCCCCTCTTCCTCCCCTCTCCTCCTATCAACGGGCACCGACCCCGAGGGATTAAACGGAGGGGCAGCACGTAATGATAACGAGACGTTCCAGAAGTTTCAGGACTCCCAGGATTTCCATCGGTTCCGCACGGGCTCCAGGCACGAGGGCTGCTGGATACTCATGTAACCCCTGGAACGTGTCCTGAACCACATCGTGGCAGTGTTCTCGTCCTAGAGAGGCCTTTGCGGCCGACGCGGTGGCCAAGATCCAGGCCGCCTTCGACGAGTCCAAGTACACCATGAAGAAGCTGGAGAACTACAAGAGCAAGGACGAGCTCTTGGCCGCCGTGGCCGACGTGGACGCCATGATCATCCGCAGCGACATCGTGGACGCCGCGGTCCTGGAGAAGGCCGCGAAGCTGAAAATCGTCGTGCGGGCCGGCGCTGGGTACGATAACATCGACTTGAAGGCCTGTGAGGCGAAGTCGATCACGGCGATGAACACCCCAGGGCAGAACGCGAACGCCGTCGCCGAGCTGGTGTTCGGCATGATGCTGACAAGCGCCCGCAACAACTACGACGGCACCAGCGGCTTCGAGCTCGTCGGCCGCAGCATCGCCTTCTACGGCTACGGGGCCGTCGCCAGGGCGGTGGGGAAGCTGGCAGCAGGCTTCGGCATGGTCCTGTACGCCTACGACCCCTACATCCCGAAGGACGCCATCAAGAAAATGGGCGCCGAGCCTGTGGACACCGTGGCGGACCTCTTCAAGCACCAGTACGTGTCGCTGCACGTGCCGCTGACTCCGGAGACCAAGGAGTCCATCAACAAGGAGCTGCTGCTCAAAATGCCCAAGGGCGGCACCCTGATCAACACTGCAAGGATGGAGGTTGTGCACGAGGGGCAGATGCTCGAGGTGCTGAAGGAGAGGCCCGACTTCTGCTACCTGTGCGACGTCGGCTTCAAGGCGCAGGAGGAGGCGAAGGCGATCGTTGGGGACAAGTACATGAAGCGGGTGATCTTCACCAAGAAGAAGATGGGCGCCCAGACCATCGAGGCAAACAACAACGCTGGCATCGCTGCGGCCAACCAGATCGTCGGCTTCTTCGAGAAGGGCGAGACCAAGTTCTCTCTTAAGGCCTGAGCTGGAGCCGCGAGCGCAGCCTTGGCAGGCACCGAGGGAAGGGGGAGATGGTGCTGGGGAGGGGAAGAAGAGGAGGAGAGGCGGGGGAGAACGAGGAGGAAGGGGAGGCGGTGGAGGAGGAGGAGGAGGAAGAGGAGGAGGAAGAGGAGGAGGAAGAGGAGGAGGAGCAGGAGAAAGAGGAGGAGGAGGAGCAGGACCAGTGTAAACCCAAGTCTCATCAACGATGTTGAAATACACCCTCCCTCCAAGATCCCTCTTCACGGGCCCCTGCAAAGGGGTCATTTCCACGGATTTGCCCCGTCGGGGGACAACTGTGTCAACATCTTGAAGCGTGCCAAAACACCATTCTCAGGACTTCAACGCCACGAGGAGGAGGCAGAGGAGGAGCAGGAGGAGCATGCCCGTAGCCATTTTGGCTCAATGGGCCTGCTCTTGAATTGCTCAACCTTTCTCACTCTCTCAAGGGGTTCAGCCAGAAGTTGTGCTTCTCACGGTCAGGGGCCACCCCGAGCCCAAGCTTTCAGCTGACTTCGTTGTCTGCTCTCGTCCGTTTCAGTTTGGTCGGTGATGGCCCAGGATGGTGGACAGGGTGCTCTCGTGGTCGTGTGCCCGCGCTGTGGGTGCAAGAATAATCCTGCGCACTTCAGGTTCTGCTATCATTGCCGACGTGACCTTCTCAATTTCAGCTTACGATTCCTCCATTGCCTCCTGTATGGACTTGTAATCCTTGGGTCCGTATTCCTGGTGGTATGTCAGGCGGTGTCGGTTACGGCAAGAAGAGAGGTGGGAAAGGCTCTCACAAGGAGGGGAAAGGGAGCCGCGGTGGTAAAGGCGGGAAGGAGGACCATCACACCGGTCCCAAAGAACCCCCGTCCGCCAATGGCAGTCGTGATGAGCTCCATCGTCTGTCTCAATTTGTCCATGTGGGGAAGCTTGATGGGGTATTACCAACCACATCTGGTGCAGCCATCTCAGGCTTGGAAGGTGGCTCAAGAGGAGAAGCACGGAGCAGTCCCCGCTTCGCAACGTCCACGCCGTGCGGAGCAGGAACAGATCAAATGCGAGAAGCGGTTGGAGAAATGTGAGCAAGATAACTCGAAAATGTTTCAACTCCTTGAATTTCTCCAGAGCAAGCAGAAGGATTTGGAGGACAGCACTTCGTCTGCGAAAGTTTCATTCGCTGATGCTAAAACTAAGAAGACAGCCGCTGAAGTTCAAGCTCAAATGCCTGGGGAAGTCCCGTCCATGGCCAGCTTCGTGGATCACTTCGGCCAGTTCAGTCGTACTTTGGCTGGGATCCAGAATGAAGCGACTCGTGCAAGCCTCCAGGCAAGCTACACGCAGTTCCTTGATGGATTGCGGGCTGCTATCCCGCCGAAGGCGCCCCAGACCCCTGCTGGCCCAGAGGGTGATGATGACTCGTCCTATATGCATGTTGACGAGGCTGATGTCATGGATGCCCGCAGTGGTATTTCAGGAGTTCCTGATACACTCAAACATGAGCTGTTCGACGCCATCAAGAACGCCAGCAAGAAATCACGTTTTTGTTCCCAGCTGCCGCACCATGTTCTCTCGCGCTTCAATCCCCGCAATGCAGCTGATGACGTCGGCTCTGTGGTGCTTTTCCCTGAGGCCTGGCCCCCCTGGGGGCGTGGCGAACGTCGGGCCTCCTGGTTTCGCTGGACCCACTGCGTGCACTCCCATGGCTCCCCCGAGAGGAACGTCAAGGTACCACGCCTGAATCCGATGGCGCCTTTTGATGGCAGGCAGTGGGTGGCGGGTAAGAGGGGGCGGGAGCGAAACAAAGGGGGATAAGCCTTTCGCCTGGCTCTTGGTGGCTCGTGGGGGCAGTGCCACTCCGGAATTGGCCGCCCACAACTTGGACCCCCCACTGCCCGAGAGGAATGGCCAGGAGGAGGTGGATAAGGGGAGGAGGAGGGGGGGGGGAGGAGGAGGAAGAGGAAGAGGAGGAGGAGGAGGGGGAGGAGGGGGAGGAGGAGGAGGAGTACCAGTGTGAACCCACGGTGCACCAACGATATTGCAATAACCCTCCCTCCAAGTTCTTTTTGTCCATAGACACCTGCAATAACTTAGTGTGGTTGGAGTGATTCGCATATTCAAGCACAACCGTTGGATAATCTCCAATCATACGCCATATTCCTGGGACCCGTTAGCCGCACATGACCGTGACGGTTGCGTCGTGGCTATGTTAAATTGTGCTAGCGCGCCGTTCTTCGGACTTCAACACAGCGGATCCACGCGTTTTCGCCCCGACGATCTTAGATTGTGCCAGGGTGCGATTCCTGGGGCCTCGACCACGCGAATCTCTAGAATTGGTGCAACCTTGAAGACGGATGTGCGCGGCGCCAGGGCGACCGCCACAGTTTGAGAGCAGGGCCCGCCCTTCCACCCTGGAAGCTGCCGCGAACGGATGTGCGCGGCGCCCAGGCGAGAGCCACGTGTGGAAGTCGACCCCGCCATCCACCCGCGACGCTGCCACGGCATCTTAGGGCGAATGTGTGCGGTGATACGGCGACAGCCACGGTTTCAACAGCCACCCGTCTCCGTGCTTGAAGCCGCCACACACTTTGAAGACGAACGTGCGCGGCGCTAAGAAGAGAGCCACATTTTGGAAAGGACCCGCCCTTCATCCTTGAAGCTGTTGCGAACTGTCAAGGCGAATGTGCGCGGCGCTAAGGCGAGCTCCGGATAAAAGAAACACCCGCTCTCCATCCGTGAAACGGTTGCACTATATTGAGGCAATTGTATGTGGCGCTATTGCAAAAACAACATTACGAACCCGCCTCCATCCTTGAAGTTGCCACAAACTTTGAAGACGAATATGCGCGGCACCACGGCGAGAGCCAATTTTTGAAACGGACTTGGCGTCCGTCAGTGAAACAGTTGCAAACTTCTAAGACGAGTGTTCGCAATTCTGAGGCGAGATCTACGGAGGGGGAGGGTGCGGCGGATGAGCAGGGGGCGGCGGGGGAAGGGGAGGAGGCAGCGTAATAGGGTGCGATGAGGGGGATCAGGCGGGATGGTACAGGAGGTGGGCGGGAGGTCCCCTGTTCGCCCTATGAGGATGAGCTCGCCAAGTGGAGCAGGGATAGAGGAGGCTGATGAGGACGATGCTGATGATGCTGATGATGATGACGATGATGATGCTGCTGTTGATGATGTTGCTGCTTCTGATGGGGATGATGATGGTCATGATGCTGCTGAGGATTTTGGTTATGGTGGCGGTGGTGGTGGTGATGGTGATTGCGATGGTGGTGACGCTGGTGGTGATGCTGATGCTGATCATGATGATGATGATGACGATGACGATGATGATGCTGATGCCGATGGCGATTGTGATGGTGATGGCGGTGGCTAGGAAGGTTATCATGACGATGCTGCTGATGCTGATGATGATGGCGATGGCGATGCCGTTGACGATGACGAAGATGATGATGATGATGATGATGATGATGATGATGATGATGATGATGATAACGACGATGATGACGATGCTGATGATGATGCTGGTGCTAATGATGATGCTTTTGATTCTGCTGATGAGGTTGCTGATGCTGATGATGATGACGATAAGGCTGATGCCGCCGCAACTGCTAATGCTGATACTGCTGCTGATGCTAGTGCTTGTGCTGCAGCTGCTTCTGTTGCTGATGATGCTGGTGAGGATGGCGATGCCGATGATGATGACGATGCTGATGATGCTGCTGATGATGATGCTGATGATGATGCTGATGATGATGGTGCTGATGATGATGGTAACGATGATGCGGTTGCTGCTGATGATGCTGACGATGATGACGATTATGATGATGATGGTGATGATGACGATGGTGATGATGAGAATGATGATGATGCTGACGCTGATGATGATGCTGCTGATGCTGATGCTGATGACGATGCTGATGATGCTGATGCTGCTGATAATGATGCTGCTGATGCTGCTGATGATTCTGATGCTGATGCTGATGATGCTGGGGCTGATGATGCTGGGGCTGATGATGCTGAGGATGATGATGCTGAGGATGATGTGTTTGCTGCTGCTGATGGTGATGATGCGGATGGCGATGATACTGATGATGCTGCTGCTGATGATGTTGATGTTGATGCTGCTGATGATGCTGCTGATGATACTGATGCCGCGGCTGATGATGATTTTGCTGATGCGAAGGTTGATGCTGATGCTGATTATGATGCTGATGAGGATGCGGCTTATGATGGTATTGATGATGATGGTGCTGATGCTGCTGATTGTGATGATGCTGCTGATGATGATTCTGATGATGAGGATGGTGGTGGTGATGATGATGATGATGATGATGATGACGATGCTGATAGTGATGATGCTGATGATGATGCTGATGATGATGGTGGTGGCGGATGGTGATCATGATGATGGTAGTGGTGGTGGTGGTGGTGGTAGGGGTGCCCTTATCTTCGCGGCGGCTGGACGTAGCCCGAGGAAGAGGGAGGAAAAAGCCAGGTGAAGGGGTTCCCCATGTTACGAGGAGGAGGATGAGGAGGAGGAGGATGATGAAGACGAATAACAAACACATTAGTAATACGAGCAATAGTGAGATAGTAATTGTAATGATACTAAGAATACAGAAGAATCATGACTAATACTAACAATACTTAGATCAAGCAAAATAATACCAATAGCAATAGTAGGAATGATACTTTTAAGAACACTAATGCTACAAATAATCGAGGTATCAATAATATTTCAGTAGCACTAACAATGCTAATAACACGAGGAAGAGGAGGAGGAGGAGGAGGAGGAGGAGGAGGAGGAGGAGGAGGAGGAGGAGGAGGGAGGAGGAGGAGGAGGAGGAGGAGGAGGAGGAGGCGAACAAGGAGGACGAGGAGGTGGAGGAGGAGGAAGAGGAGGAGGAGGGGGAGAAGGAGAATGAGGAGGACGAGGACGAGGACGAGGACGAGGACGAGGACGAGGGCGAGGAGGAGGACGAGGAGGAGGAGGAGGAGGAGAGAGGAAAGGGTAGAGGTGGATCATGATAGAGGAGGAGGGGGAAAGAAACGAGGAGGAGGCGGGAGAGGAGGGGAAGGAGGACGAAGGGACAGGAGAAGGGGGGTAAGGAGGGAGACGAGGAGGAGGGCGAGGCAGACGTTGGAGACTGATGCCCGCCTTTGTCGCTTCCCCATCAGCCGCGGCTCCGCGCCCTGCGGGGCCCCTTACTCGCGCGCGCGCTCCTTGCTTGCCCTGCGCCGCCTCCTCTCTGCTGGGGGGGAGGCAGGATGGGGGAGGGAGGCAAGAGGGGGAAGGGAAGGAGGGGGATTTGTAGGAGGAGGGGATGATGATGATGATGCTGATGATGATGATGATGATGATGATGATGATGATGATGATGATGATGATGATGATGATGATGATGATGATGATGATGATGATGATGATGATGCTGATGCTGATGCTGATGCTGATGCTGATGCTGATGCTGATGCTGATGCTGATTATGATGATGCTGATGATGATGATGCTGATGATGATGGTGGTGATGGTGATGGTGATGGTGATGGTGATGGTGATGATGATGATGATTATGATGTTGATGATGTTGCTGCTGCCGATGATGATGATGATGGTGGTGGTGGTGGTGGTGATGATGATGATGATGATGATGATGATGATGACGATGCTGATAGTGATGATGCTGATGACGGTGGTCATGATGATGATGCTGATGCTACTGATGATGATGATGATGCTGATGATGCTGATGATGCTGATGATGATGACTGGAGAATGAAAGTAGTGAATATTTCTTAATGTGAGTGGTTGCAGATCTCCCCTCCGCAGTTTTTCAGGGTCAAGCCAGGCACACTGATTTTCTAACGAAGTCGTTGGGGGCTTGGCCCCCCCAGCGTAGCACGAACATGGTTCTCTCGCCAGCGATCTCGGAGGCCGAGGCTCCTGCTGGTACGCCGAGTGGTCCAAGCCGTCTGTGGGCACTCGGCTGGGCTGCCACGACCGCGCTGCTCGTCGGCCTCGGCTCGAGCGGCGCGCTGCGCGCCGACACGGGCAGGGAGGCGGTGCAGCGCCTGGGCTTCACGCTGGTGATCGCGGTCGCGGGCTCGAGCGCCACCCTCTGGCGCGCTGGGCTTTGGGGCTGGTGCTGCCGCCGGCGTGATGGCCAGGGAGAGCTGGAGCAGTTGCGGTCTCAGCTCGCCGCCCTGCAGCTGGCCAGGCTGGAGACGCACGGCGAGGCCACGACCGCGCCCGCCGACAGCGGTTCGGACGGCGGCGGCCCGGTGCACGGCAGCTTGGGCCTGCCGCCGCCGCCGCCCTTCGCGATCGGGCCCGCGCTGGGAACAAGGCCCGCGCCTTGGGCCCCCGCGGCGTCGGCAGACGGAGGCCTGGTCGCCTTCCACGCCTTCAGCGAGGGAGGGGGGCTGCCTGGGCCGATCTCGGTTAGCCAGGGCGGGGCCCCCGCGCCGACGGCGCCCGTGCTGTCGCCCGCGCCAGGCTTGGCGGCCGGCACAGCCGAGCCCGCCACCTGCGCGGCCACGGCGGGCATGGCGGTGCCTACAGGCGCCAGGGTCTGCGCGGCGGCCGTCAGGGCCGAGCTGGAGGGCTTCGCGGCGACGAGCGGGAGCGACCCCTGGTGGGGCAACAAGTTCTGGCAGCGGGTGCGCCAGCGGGACCTGGCGGGCTTGCTGGACCCAGACGCGAAGGCGGCGCTGGTGGCGCGGGGCTTCTCAGGCGAGCGCTCCGTGGGCGCGCCCGACGTGGAGGCGGTCAAGGAGGTGCTGCGCGGGTTCGAGGCCGCCGCCAGCCAGTTTACGGGTGGCTTCGTGGGCTCGGGCTTGGCGGCGTCCGCATCGGTCGAAGCCAGGGCCCACAGCTTGCCGCCAGACTTCAGGCGCGCCGGGGGCGAGATCTACCGGAACACCAGGGCGTCAGGTTCCACTTCTGTGCGGAACTGGCTGACGCAGCAGCGCGTGGGCTCCAAGCGGGGCGAGGAGTGGCAGTCGCTTACGGCGGTCGACTTCGCGCTCGGCGACTGCAGCGACGACTGGAGCCTCTACGCGAAGCTCAACTCAGACGATCAGGTGGAGATCGCTCTCCGCTACCTCTCAGCCTACGTGTACGACAGCCGCGCGCGGGACAGCGTGGGCGCGGCCAGGCTTCGCGCGGTGGTGGCGCCAGGCTCAGCGGTGGACATCGCGCCCAACTGGCTGATCTCGGAGTCGACGACCCACTCGAAGATGGAGCACCAGCGCGAGGAGCGCATCGGCGCGGAGTTGCGCCGCCGCCAGAAGGGCGATCCGAGGGGCCCGAAAGGTGGCAAGCCCATGGGCCCCCCCCCCACGGGCGTCGGTGGCTATTGACGCCGGCCGCAAGAGGAGGTGCCTCGGCAGCCGCGGGCACCTCCCAGGCGCAACATCCTACGGCTGCGTGGAGAACGAGGAGACGGAGGCGCATGGTCACCTGTTCAGCGGGAGGAGGGCGCTAGCCGGGTGCTTGGGCAGACGCAGCGGGCGCCGGCGCCCTCGCGACCAGCAGTGACGATGAAGCCTTTCTTCCCAGGTCTTGACGACGTACGCCAGCTGCTGCGAGAGGGAGGCTCGCTGCTCCCTCTGCCACTGCTGCCCTGGCCTGTTTCGAGGTCTCGTTCGGCTTCAGGACGAATCAGGCAGAGGGAAACTCGTCGACGAGCAGTTCATCAGTTGGCCAATGAGAGTCTAGAGACGATCAACCGCGTTCACGCTGGAGGCTTACAGCAGCAGGCTGGCCGCGCCGTCGAGCGACGGGATTTGCGAGGATCAGACGGAGCGGCAGGGCGAGCTCAATTGCGCGCCATTCGCATGGCCCAGGAGTTTGCCGACGCTTGCCGGCCAGGCATGGTGGCAGGCGCGCAAGCGATCAGCGAGCTGCTCAGCTACACGAGGGCGAGGTCACCTACGCGAGGGCGTCCAAGCGGCATGTGCACGCTACCTTCGTGGCGGACCGCATCGACGAGGTGACCGCCTTGCGGGCCGTGGAGATGCTGGGCGCCCTGTCGGAGATGGAGGCACTCTTTTACGCTGAGGGGGGCAGCGTGGTGGACTGGCGCGGCAAGGGCGAGTGGCTCCTCGGAGAACTCGAGGAGCACTGCGGCTTCCAGGGGGGCTCGCCGGAGGAGTGGGCCCGGACCTCCCGCCACGACTGCGGACCTACGTGCGCCAGAACGACATCGAGGCCATCAACGGCGTGGCTGCGGTCCCGAAGAACGATCCCGAGAAGCTCCGTAAGCTGATCATGGCCGCGCCCGCGAACTACGTCTGGTGCGACGTTCGAGATCGCGAAGACCATGGTCTTGGAGGCGGAGGCGCGCTTGCTCAACTTCGAGTGGCAGATGGGCCCCTGTACGTCGCCAGATGCGACGAGTCGACTGCTTTCTCGTCGGTGGTGACCCCATCGGTGTGGTGGCCGTGGATGGCGACGCCAGCGCTGCCCGCTATCCTGGTGCGCGATCAGCTCCCGCCCGAGCTGCAGCACATTCCGGATTACGAGATGGTATTTCCGTGCTACCAGCGGCCACCGATGGGGGGTCCCCTTTCAGTGCACATCTGGATGGTGATCAACGCGCGGAGCCTGGGCGAGACTTTGAACTCCAACAGGAAGTTGACCGAGAGCGCGCTGCAACAGGACATGAGTTAAGGTTCATGACCAGGAGTGGGTTGACCTCCAGCGTGACAGGAGGAGCGCCGACCGCTACGAGGCGGGCCTGGGAGTAGACGAGTTCTGCGAGAAGGCGCGCTACTTCAAGAGGTCGGCCCAGCCGGTCATGGCCGTTCTGCGCGTCTTCGCGGGGGGTCGTCGCCAGGGAGACGTTCAACATCGCGCGGGGACCTTCTGCCAGCAGCGCGGCGTGCCGCTCTTCTGCTTCGGGGTGGACCTCGCCTTCGACGCGCGCTGGGACTTCGCCGCGCGCCGTCGCGGCGCTCCTCGAGTTGGGCCACGCTGGGCTGCTGGACGTGGTGCTGGGCGACCCGCCGTGCGCTGCCTGGAGCCGCCTGCGGCGTCGCCCAGGCGGGCCCCCGCCGCTGCGGCGCCGCGACCACCTGCTGGGGCTGCCCTCGCTGCGGGCTCCTGAAAGGACTCGAGTAATTGTGGCCAACGCTGTACTTTTCAATTTCCTTGACTTGTGCGAATCCGTGCTGTCGCAGGGCGGAGCTTTTCTTCTTGGGCACCCTGCGGACCCCGGCGAGTTCCCCTTTCGCTCGGTGTTCGTCCTCGAAGTGGTGGGGGTTTAGCCTCTCGAACCCAGTTAGACCAGTGCATGTATGGGGGGGGGGGGGGGGCAAATACTTACAGGTCTTCTATCCGATCTCCTTGGGCTATCTGAGGGTATCTTGCGTTGTGATGGGCTGCGTACTCATGGCAATGTTCGAGGTGAAAACTCCCTGGGAGTATTCGCTTCACGGCGCATTCAGAGTTATCCTCCAGGTCTGCGTCGTTTCTTTGGATGGTGTATCACCCGCACCTTGGCGCAGATGCGACTGGGGTCGAGAGGGCCGGGGGGCTGGGGGCGTCCATCGACAGCGCGGCTTCGCACGAGCCAGTGGGGCCGAGAAGCTGAGGGCCCACTCGGAGGAAAGTTCGCGATGCTCAACGAGAAGTACGGTCAGACCACGAAGTTCTCGATCGGACCCGACGACGTAGCGAGCTACGTGCACGTCGACGACGGCCTCGCGATGACGGTCGGAGCCGAGGATCGACGCAAGTGCGACGCGCTGATGCAGCAGGTCGCCGGCGGCTGGGAGGCCGAGGGCTTCCTGGCCACCGAGCGGGTCGAGGCCGAGGACGACCTCGAGGCGGTGGGCTACCGCTTCCAGCGGTCGCCGCCCGCGCTGCGCTTCGACCCGCACAAGGGCTGGCTGCTGCGCGAGAGCTGCTTGTGGCTGCTGCAGGTGGACTGGATCGGCATGGAGCTGCTGCGGGCGGTGGTCGGCGCGTGGCTTCGGGGGGCCCTGCTGCGCCGCGAGTTGATGTCAGTCCCCCGCGCGGTGTTCAGCATGATCGAGAAGCGCGCCAACCAGGTCATCGCGTGGTGGCCTTCAGCGAGGCGCGAGCTGCGGGCCATGGCCTACTTGGTCCCCGCGATGAAGTGCGCGCTGGACCTGCCTGCCTCTCCGCTGGTGTTCTCGTCCGACGCCGAGGGGGTCAACGACGGGGACTTCGGTGGCTTCGGCATCGTGGGAGCTCCCGTCGGCTTAGCCGAGAGGGTGGCAC